GAGAAGGGTTCGAGATGGGTTCGAGACACCTGCGACGACTCTGTGTCTCTTTTGAGACACTCATTTTCTATACTCTCTTTCACCTACTACTACTACTACTACTAGTAGGGCCTATTAGTAACCTATTATTGCCGACAATTTCCTGTAAATGCCGTCCAAATGCTCATCTGCAACAAACGCTTCAATTGTCCAATTGTCGGCAATAATACCGGTTACTAATAGGCCCTACTAGTAGTAGTAGTAGTAATAGGTGAAAGAGAGTATAGAAAATGAGTGTCTCAAAAGAGACACAGAGTCGTCGCGGGTGTTTTGAACCCGTCTCGAACCCTTCTCAATTTAGTTTCTGTGAGTCAGAAAGTGCGAGAAATCTGAGACAACTTTGTGAGGGGTTGACAACCTATGAAACTATGTCAGCCTGGTTCTCATCCAGGTTGGGGTCCTCATTCAGAAGCTTCTGCACTTTTTCTCTGAGGTCAATCTCGCTTGACGTCTGATGACAAAATGATTGCTGGACTGGGGAGGGGCCCCGTATTTATATGGTCCGGATTTCTCAAATTTCACGCATAACTATCGCGCGACTGTTGCACGACATTCGCGCGACTGTTGCGCGACAGTCGCAAGTGCAAAAAATTGCCGTGAGACTCACGCAATTCAGCACAATCTCACGCTCTCACGCGCATTTCTAATAGTCTCCGAAAATCTCACGCAATTTCAAGAATCCAGTTTTTCTTCGTTGCAAGGAGTGGGTCTAGCCGAACTTTGCCGAAAAACGGGGGACACGAGGCACGGGAATCTCGACATTTATTACTTGTGGCGCACCCAGCGACTGATTTTGCTAATCTGACGTCACGTGATGTCAGTCATGTTAACTAGACTAGCGCCCGTTACTACTCATTCATCCATGGTTATATTTTTAGTACTGTTACAATCACTATGATTTTTGTACATTGCATGTTTTTTTCATGCTTATATATAAGCAAGAAATATCATGTTCATATTGCTGCTGAGGGCATGAAATAGCACCCCATTTAAAAAAAAATTCCCTGGTAGTAGTACTATAGCCCCCGTTTCCACGGTTCAAGGATGTATTGCTATTAGGTGATCCCAATTCATTTTCGCAAATGTGGGGGTGGGGCACTTTAAAATCGCCACGGCACGCGCCATGCTATGCTAGTTTAGTTATGTAGGTTTCCTGACTCACACTCTCACAGGCAGCGGGGGAGGGCTATAGCTAATGATGCATCTAAGTAGGATTGAGTCCTAATTTGCATTATTTAGTGGCCAGTATAATATCGCTCTTGACGAACTAAGACAGGACTGTCAGGAGGAAACAATTGATTGCACTGAGTCAGATAAAATACACAGCATGGCTATGTAAAATATTTGATGATAACATCCGAGCCCAGACCCAGGGCTGTAATTCTGGGCCCGGTTCAACAGTCCGACCCCAACATTGGTAGCTGCTGTTGTATCTGCCTTTGACAATGCCTTTGTATCACAAATGATTTTTTCTAGTTTATTGCTACATAAATGTTTATCTACTCTGTTAAGATTATCATTAAATATTTCTACATATTTATCACTGCACGGGATCTCTATCCTGTTCCACAATTATTTTATTTCAGCTTATACTGTATCTGATGTACACGGAATTACTCCAATTCAGCTTTGACAGTAAATGTGCATATATACAATCTTGCAATATATGAGTGTTTCTTGTGATAATGAGTGGATAAAGTAAGCGCCATATTTTTCGCATACAGATATTTTTGCGAATTCAGACTTGACGGACAATTTCGTGATTGGTTAATAAATAATTTTGCGGTCAGTGGATTCCCGAATCAGCGAAGAACGGCGTGTTGTTATTTTTGCGTATTGTTATTTTCGCGGTCGGGGACGCGTTCGCGAAATTCGCGAAAATTAAACCACTGCGAAATATACAGCGTATACAGTAGTCAAGGAGCTGTTTGTGCTATATTTGGCAAATAAATATCTTTATATTCATGACAATTATTCTACAATCTCATACTATCAGGAGTGTATCAATATTGATACACTCCTGATACTATGTTATGAATGGCCACAATATATAGGCCCGTTTGTGTGATATATCATTTTTTTTTTTTTTAGCTAATATGCCTTTTATGGTGACATTAAAAAGTAAAAGTAAAGTAATCTTTATTTTCATTGGTACAGGACATACAGAATAACATGAGCTCTTGAAATGGCTCTTAAACCAATATCAAACAAATGTATGATAACAAATGTACATGATATTTGATAACAGAATATATGGTATAGTATAGACATATAGAGCAGGGTGCGAAATTAACCGGAGTCCGGAGTCAAATACTCTCTGATTTATTGCCGGACTCCCTGATTTGACATATGCAAGAGTCCGTATAACTCCCTGAAAATTCTGCCATACTAACTAGTTCATTCCTGAGCACGGCCTCGCGGAATTACCGTATTTTTTTAGCAAATGTCCAAAGAAAATTTGGCAGACATGCAACCACATGAATTTTCAAATAAGCACATGTATGCGTTATTGTTTAAAATATCTTTAATTTTGAACTTCGGACTGCGGACTCCCTCATTTTGCCGCGGACTCCCTTGTTCAGAAGTTAATTTCTACCCCTGTAGAGCATAGAGAATATAGAGTACGGTATAGAGTATAGACCAGGGTTCTCCAAGAGCTATACCTAAGAAGAACCATAGATATGTTTAACATTCAGTTTAAACTGCATATATACTAGAGCTCTATAACCTATGGAATTTCCCATCTTTTAGCATCTGCAAAGGATGATACCAATTATAATCGTCATGCTGTGTGTAGTTGTCAAACTTCAAATACCTTCACAAATGAACCATCAACTTACCAAGAAGTTTATTGGAATGTATGTCAATTGGCAAATTCTCAATTTGCTCCTGTGTCATGTTTCCAGACTGAAAATAGTAGAGATGGTTGTACATGTGTTACCATATACACAGCCACACGACTTTGTCAAAAAATATCAATGTGCATGCAGTACGTGTTCTGACAAGAGTGGCAGCAAAAGTTGCATGTGCATTGGGTGTATTTGGTAGATACGTCTCTGTTGCCGACGTCCTGCCACCTAAACAGTAGCAGTCATCTAATTTAGCCAGGCGTCTGACGCCCAAGACGTGTAGGAATCTTAGCGGACATGTAAACATTGCAAGCTCAATTGACCGACGGGCTCCTATTTTCATAACGCATAAAATATAATGACACTGGCCATTAACTAAAGGGGCTTAGAGTTTTAATTTAAAATCATGAAATGGACTGGAAATTAAATTCACTGGAAATGAATGGCATATACTTCTTTACTCAATATCCCAAAAATATTCCTGCAAAATATATGGGTAACTATAGAATGTCATTCAGTCATATACTTTTTACAGAATACTTGCCCAAAGTGGCTCAAATTTTTTTTCGTGAAGACTGCAGTAGGTAAATGTGAGTCAAAGTTATGCTCGCTCTAGTAGAGCCTACTCTGAGTCTTGATATAATAATATAAATATGAATTCAAATAGTATCTATAGCCTATATAGCCAGGCTATAATTCATTGTACAATGAATACGGTATGTGTACATGTGTGTGTGTGTGTGTGTGTGTGTGTGTGTGACACTGTATGCGTGTGTGTGTCCATACCATAATAATTATTGATATATGCATATACATCTGTCTGTGATGGGTATGAATGTGGATGTGATATGGTAAGGAAGGTATATACTGGATATGCCCAGATTTGCATATGCCTCGTTAGCATAGATCCTATGAAACATTCTGTACTTCCACACTACTATTGCTAAACCTATAGCCTGGCAATCTCAACGACTGTATAATGTCGTACCACATAACACATACTAGTATTATAGTCTATACTATAGCTTAATTGTCACACGTGACATTGACAGTTGACTGCAATTTGTAAACAAGCTTGGATGAAGACGGATGATGACGTATCATTGTAATTTGTGTGTACACTTTTAACACTACTCACTAGTACTAGTGCTGCCACAATAATGATAATATACATATCATCTGATTTTATACTAAACATATTGAACTTTTTCAGTACTTTGTCACACTTGTCAGCACTCTGTCCAGTGTCGCGACTTGTGTGTCGTGCGCGAGCCTGCGCGTGTGTCGTGAGGCCTCATAGGGTCTTATGTCCCCCAGGGTACTGCGGAACTACCCTCGGTACGGTCCGGTGTATACGGAGTACCCTGCGTCAACTTATTTGATATGGTTAGGTGGGTTAGGGTTAAGGTGGCTTAGGGTTAGGGTTGCGTACGGCTTAAGGAGTAGGCAGGTAGGCGCTCCGCTAGACCGTTAGTGGAGTAGCGAGGTACGCGTTCGACATATTAGATTAGTCACCAGAGGTAGTTCGCGTTATACCGCGACCGGTACCAGGTCTTCCGGCAGATGACACCGGTGGGACATAGACCCTCTCACGCGTCAGTGAGTGTGCAAGCGCGACAGGCTGTTGCGACCTGATTGTCTTTACACTCTAGCAAGACCGTTGTCTTGGAGGCTATGACTACATGAGTATGAGTGTGTTCAGAGTAAGCAGAAGTGCGCTGCCTGGTAGTGGTAACAGTTACTGCTGGTTTAGGTCTCATTCCACGTCTAGTTTGTACAATCCACGCACGCATAAATAGTGTCCAGCGTGACCAACGTATAAGTTGACACGTGGTTTACTTGCTGCATGGTCTCAGTGCGTTAGATGCAATATGCACCTCACACAAGTAACAAGTGTTAAAAATATGTGACAGTAGTCAGTACACACGTCCAACATGCGAATTTGTTTACACGTAGCCAAAGACGTAGCTTGACAAAAGAGCATTCAAATCCTCATCCCACGATTTCCACCAGGCGCGCGCGTGTTTGTATTCGCTCGACCTGCGTATCGCGTACTCTGAGTTTGAGTGAAGTGAGTATTAAAATGATTATTAGATTAATTATCTACTCTGTTATAAATAAATTATAACCAAGAAGTATAGGCTTTAGCTCTAAGTCCCTACCTGTCCTTGTTTACGTGTTACATGGTCGTAATCGCAATGTTTTACTAAGTTATTGTCAACTCAACTGATTCACTGAGAGTGAGGTAGATACAATAATGTAACCAAACCCAGGATAGGTCTGCAACCCAAGGAGCCTAAATATAACAAGGAGAGGAAGCGCCCGCCATATCTGGCCAAATTTTAAGGCCCAATCTGGCCATATCTGGCCCAATCTGGCCCTTGTTATATTTAGCTCCTTGCTGCCACCTAACCACATTTAGCCGATTCGTGAACATGCGATGATGACTAAAAGATACTTTAATTTTTTAAATAATTTTAGCAATGATAGCAGTAATACTATATTTACTAATACTAATAGATGTAATAAGGATATGAAAGAAGATATGGACATTTATATAATTGCGATAGTTATGAAATATATAAGGAGGGACAAACAATAGATAACTGGAAAAGGCACAGTCATGGAATATTAAAAGGCTGTTGCCCTGCAACGGTACCGTCGCGCGATTTTTTTTCTCTTAAAGTCACGGTATGATGCCAGCCATCTATCGGCGAATAATACTACCGTTGCTTTTGGTACGATATTATATATACGATTTTATACGATATATACGATAACCCTAACCTAACCCTAACCCTAAACCTAACCTACCTCACCCTAACCCTAACTTATAAATTATAAAATTTAATTTTTAATTGTTGTAAAAAATTAATTGTTGTTATTAAAATGTTTAAATAAATAATGTAAATATTTGCGTTAATGTGAAAAAAAATGTTAAACAGATAAAGATAGAAAAATACAGAAACAGGAAAATAATTAGAAACTGATGGGATTCGATCCCGCGACCATTCATACTTGGCGCAAGCGCTCTAACCGTTGCGCTGCTGCCACATATTGAATTAAAATTTTGGATGTGCTATGTATATCGCGAGAAAAACAAGCTCAACCAATCAGGCGTCAGTACCGTCAGTACCGTGACTTTAAGAGAAAAATAATCGCGACGGTACCGTTGCAGTAGACACTTCCAATATTAAAAGGCAGTTGGCTACGGTACGGTAGCCGTATCTTAATGTATCGAGGCTACGGGTAGGGAGTCCATTGCTTTCATACTTAACGAGACAAGATGGCGGCGGTGGCGCTAGATTTGAATAACGCATTGGGAAATAAATTCACGATTGAGAGTTTAGATGAGCTAGAACCTAACCCTAACCCTAAACCATACCCTAATCATAACCCTAAACCTAACCCTACCTAATCCTAACCCTAACCCTAACGCAAAAAGGGGGCTTGAACGACCGACGGCTACCGATTACCTCCAGCCTGCGATATATAAAACCACGCATTAGAATATGTACGGAAAATTCTGGCGATTCGTGAAACTAACATTTAGAAAATTAGAGGCGACGTTTATCCCTTTGTTTTCTAGATAATCCCCGCACTCGTTGATTCGGGTGCCTTGTGAAATACAAGAGAGGGCGCCAAGATACAAGATACAAGATACAACCTATCCTGGGTTTGGGTTACATTATTGTATCTACACTGAGGGGTGCCATGAATCACAGGCACTTGGAGCGTTTCAATAATATAATTTGGGGTTAATGAGCTCTTGATAAAATATAATGCTAAATAAATACGAAATCTATTTACTACCAAAGTCTTAATGTTTCTATAGTCTCTTTCACCTATTATTGCCGACAATTTCCTGTAAATGCCGTCCAAATGCTCATCTGCAACAAACGCTTCAATTGTCGGCAATAATACCGGTTACTAATAGGCCCTACTAGTAGTAGTAGTAGTAATAGGTGAAAGAGAGTTATGAAAAATGAGTGTCTCAAAAGAGACACAGAGTCGTCGCGGGTGTTTCGAACCCATCTCGAACCTTCTCAATTTAGTTTCCGTGAGTCAGAAAGTGCCGAGAAATGTGAGACAACTTTGTGAAGGGTTGACAACCTATGAAACTATGTCAGCCTGCGTTCTCATCTAGGTTGGGGTCCTCATCAGAAGCTTCTGCACTTTTTCTCTGAGGTCCATCTCGCTTGACTGTCTGATGACAAAATGATTGCTGGACTGGGGAGGGCCCGTATTTATATGGTCCAGATTTCTCAAATTTCACGCGAGACTCACGCAATTCAGCACAATCTCACGCTCTCACGTGCATATCTAATAGTCCCGAAAATCTCACGCAATTGGCAAGAATCCAGTTTTCTTCGTTGCAAGGAGTGGGTCTAGCCGAACGGCACGAGTTGGGACACGAGGCAGCGGGATCTCAACATTTATTACTTGTGGCGCACCCAGCGACTGATTTTGCTAATCTGACGTCACGTGATGTCAGTCATGTTAACTAGACTAGCGCCGTTACTACTCATTATCATGTTTATATTTTTAGTACTGTATACAATCACTATGATTTTTGTACATTGCATTTTTTTTTCATGCTTATATATAAGCCAAGAAATATCATGTTCATATTGCTGCTGAGGGCATAGAAATAGCACCCATTTAAAAAAAATTCCCTGGTAGTGTACTATAGCCCCCGTTTCCACGGTTCAAGGATGTATTGCTATTAGGTGATCCCAATTCATTTTCGCAAATGTGGGTGTGCGCACTTTAAAATCGCCACGGCACGCGCCATGCTATGGCTAGTTTAGTTATGTAGGTTTCCTGACTCACACTCTCACAGGCAGCGGGAGGGCTATAGCTAATGATGCATCTAAGTAGGATTGAGTCCTAATTGCATTATTTAGTGGCCAGTATAATATCGCCTGCTTCACGAACTAAGACAGGACTGTCAGGAGGAAACATTGATTGCACTGAGTCAGATAAAATGCACAGCATGCGCTATGTAAATATTTGATGATAAATCTGAGCCCAGACCCAGGGCTGTAATTCTGGGCCCGCGGTTCAACAGTCGCACCCAACATTGGTATCTGCTGTTGTATCTGCCCTTGACAATGCCTTTGTATCACAAATGATTTTTTCTAGTTTATTGCTACACTAAATGTTTATCTACAATATATAGGCCCGTTTGTTGATATATCATGAAATTCGTAGAAAAATTTTCTTTCTTTTTTTTTAAGCTAATATGGCCTTTTATGGTGACATTAAAAATAAAAGTAAGTAATTTTTTATTTCATTGGTACAGGACATACAGAATAACATGAGCTCTTGAAAGGCTCTTAAACAATATCAAACAAATGTATGATAACAAATGTACATGATATTTGATAACAGAATATATGGTTAGTATAGACATATAGAGCAGGGTGCAAAATTAACGCGAGTCCGGGGTCAAATACTC